TCAAAAATTGTAGACCAGTGTAATTTAAACAACTTACTCTAGCCTTCAAGACCCTCCATAACTCCACTTCTCAAATTTATCTGACCTCATTTCTTATCAGGTAGGTCTGTTCCACCCAGCTTAATGCCCCATGTTCCCTTGGAATGTCCTTCCTACTGTGGCGCTACCAGACTTTCAGAAGTTAAATGTTCCTGAAACCCATCTTCCTCCATGATGCCTACAATAAGTGAGTGAAAAAGCTACTTACTATCTTTAATGCATAGGTACATGATTGTATTCCTGTAGATGATTTCCTACCTCACTCTATCTTTTCCAGGCCTATCACCAGCCCTGTGAGATGCTGTCAGGCAGCCTTAGCATAAGGAGGCTCAGGAATCTTCCCTTGGAACATTTTGAAATATGAGGTACAGTTCTCTGCATTCTGGAAAGTTTTTGACAAAGTCCAAAATAAAGAGCCAAATTGTGGCATAACTGCAGCCCGCAGGGTGGGTGTGGAGGTGTGGGGTGGTGTGCTGAGAATTCTAACTTCAGAAGAAGCTGCCGGCAGCACTCTTGCCTATGCTCATCTGGTTCTACTGGCCAGTGCAGAAATGGGAAAGAAAATGGCTTCTCTTTTAGGAAAGCTAAGGCCATACTGAGCACCTGCAATCTGAAGTCAACATGGAACTGTTCCCTGGGCCACAATCTGGCTTGAAAAGTTTTTGGCAAAATAAAATAAATCCTGTTGTTTACCTGGAATCTTCACAAGGATAAATTGACAGTGCAGCAAGTTAAGTTCTGCTAGAAAGTCAATAAACAAGCAACAAACCCAACAGAACTACAGAGCCCACAATGTGCCTTTGTCTATATCCCATCAGATCCACATAGTAACAAACAGTACTATTATTGTTTGTGCTACAGTAGTATCTAGGATCTCTAATCAAAATTGGGGCTCAATTGTGCTTGATGCTGAACAGACATATCAACCTTGTCCAGAGAGCTTGCAATCTAGTAAGAGAAAGGGTCAGAGAAAACAAGTACATTATCCATTTAATGGCTGAGGATCTGAGGTAGGGAGAGGTTAAAGGACTGTGCCACCTTGGGCAAGGTTTATCTGTGGCAGAGCCAATAAATGAACCCAAGATTTCCTGAAACCCAGTTCAGTGTTTTAACCACATAATCATCCTTCCTCTCATAAAATGATACTGAGACCAGAATCAATGCTGTAAAACAACCAATCCTCTCCCAAGATTATTCTTTTTCCCATATATCCAGAAAGTGGCCTTCTCTTTCAGCTATCATTTCACAATGAGATCTGCAAAACCATTCATCGTCTCACAGAAGCACACGCCAAATAGGGTGACCAGATAGCAAGGGTTAAAAATCGGGACAGGGGGTGAGGGTAATATACACCTGTATAAGAAAAAAAACCCAAATATCAGGACTGTCCCTATAAAATCGGGACATCTGGTCACCCTAACGCCAAAACATGTCCCACAATATAAAACTAAACTAACTCTATGTTTTTCTAATGTTTTGGCACATAACTATTTAAAAATCAATTAAAAATAACTTCAGCAGTCTTGAGTTTTGTTCTTGATCAGGATTTTTATTTCTTTCTTCCCTCTTTATCCCCCCGCCATTAACTTGTTGCCTTCTACAGCAGGGATCAGCAAACTTTGGCATGCGGCCCATCAGGGAAATCCATTGGCAGGCCAGGAAGGTTTGTTTACCTGCAGCATCCACAGGTTTGGCCGATCGCAGCTCCCACCGTCCCAGGACAATGGGGGCTGCGGGAAGCAGCGTGGGCTCAGGGATGTGCTGGCCGCTGCTTCACGCAGCCCCCATTGACCTTGAATGGCAAACCACAGCCAGTGAGAGCTGTGATCGGCCGAACCTGCAGACGCTGCAGGTAAACAGACCATCCAGCCCCGCCAGCTGATTTCCCTGACAGGCTGCGTGCCAAAGGTTGCCGATCCCTTCTCTACTATTTGCTTCCTCTGGTGAAATTTGTAATTTCCCACTCTCCTCTGAGTATCTTCCACTCTTGCTTTCTGATGTCTGCTCCCTCTTTCTTCCTCCACAGACTTTACAGCCTACTTCTGATTAGAGCTGCTGGGACTTTAGGCTGCTTTACTACCATCCTCTTCTAAGTCCCTGACTTTTGACAGGCAGCTAGAATGGGCAGTACCAGTGGCTAAATTATGGTCTTTTTCTTCCCATGTCAGACCATCAGATCAATCCCTGCCCTTGGCTCATTTTTTTCACTCTAATGAGAGTGAGAGAAAGAACTGGAGTTGGTGGCAGATAACACTGAGTAGACAGCAGGGAAAGAGAAAGGAAGCAAGTCATAGTGATCAACTAGGTTTTTTGCAATCCATCACGTATTTATTTTAAGTGAATGAAAACAGGGTTCAATAATGGAAGCTTAGTTGTAACCTAAAATATTGGTTTATAATGAACCTACTACTGCCACCTATAATATTGCAAAAAAAGTTGTATCATATTTAAATAGTTCTCTCTTTTTTCCCTTTTTTTTTTTTGGCCTCTTCAGTCCAGAAGTCTATAATCAATTTGAAAGATAGCGAATTGTCAGATTAGGATCTGATCCAGGGGAAAAGATGTCATTTGCCATGGTCAACATATTTGTCAAGTATCAGAGGGCTAGCCGTGTTAGTCTGGATCTGTAAAAAGCAACCGAGAATCCTGTTGCAGCTTAAAGTCTAACAGATGTATTGATTGGAGCATAAGCTTTCATGGGTGAATATCCACTTCGTTAGACGCAACATGATGTTTGTCAAGGTACTATTGATCAAAGGACTTCTTAAAAAATAAATTGCAATAAGTTAAAAACATCATAGTATTCCTGTAAGTAAAGTTACCTTTCTCCCCCTCCCACCTTGATTTTAAAATAAAACTAATAATATTGATCGTAACTAATTTTCCACTGGTTTATATTAATGTGGCTGTTAAAACTCTTTTTGGCAGAAAGTTTATCATACAAGCTCTCAACCCAAGAGCAGATATTTTTAACAGCTTAATAATGGTTTCACCATTTTTAAACTATGACTATAAATTAGTTAACTGTGTGGCAAAGACTTGTTATACAGGCAAATTACTTCATTTAAATAGACCAAAACAACTGCCAAACAATTAAGCTATACTATAGTCAAATTACTTTTAATATTTAAAACAAAAGAAATTAATATGCTAGGAAAAGAAGCAGTAATTACTTCTACAAAGGAATTTTAATAAGCATGGCTTTCAGAATGTTGTGGCATGGGTTTATGTTTCACAGGAAAGTGGCCATATAATTCCCGACTTTTCTCACTACCTTCCTATTTGCTTCTGAATCAATTAAACGAGGAGGTTCTATGGAAACATGTTATAATGGTGGTATCTGATGCATAAGTTTGGACAGCAAGGCTGTCTTTGGCCTAGTTTGCAGTTTCCTTGACATGAGTGAAATGTTGCCTCGGTGACCTTGTTATTAAGTAAACTTGTTTATAACTGCTGTATAGGACAAATGGGATGTTTTCACCACAGGATGTGATTAAATTGAAACAAAGCAAACAAACAAAATGTGCTGCCAAAAAGTAATTAGGGAAAAGGCAAGTAGACAAACTGGGAAGTCCAGAAAAACCTTTATGCAGAGAAAATGGTCTAAATGACCTGGTCAAATATACATGATCAGTGCATAATAAACCAGTTAGAAGAGAGACATAGCGTGAAATAACAAGAACAGCAAAAGTTATGCCAATTGCAGTTTATGCATGTGTATTGTATAAGATACAAAATATACATAATTTTCATAATATTTAATGGTTATTGGAAGGGAAACTAACAAATATGTAATATGTGGGAATTTTGTAAAGGATAGGCAGAATACCATAAGAAAAATCCATTGTGACCCACCTATGTCTCAGAAGGTAGTTTGTTCACTATCTTTTACTGTATGTCTCTAGTTTATTTAATAATAATTGTAATCACAGGGTATGCTTTTGGTTCAAATACAGGTTGGAATGAACAAACCTCGGAGTCCCAGACCCGAGTGTGTGACTTCTCACCCAACAATTCTAACTGGCATCTGTATCCCCCACCCACTTTGACCCCACTGTACCTTTTTCCAGTCCTTATTTTCCTCTCTACTTTCTTTTGCAGCTGGATACTACCTTTTTTTGTAACACCCAATAAATCTCTTGTGCCTCATGTTGAGCCACTAACTCCTCTTTAAATCTCACTATAAAACCTATTATTTTTCCTTTTGATTTTGATTGCTCACTTTTTGTAAAGCTTTTCCATGTGATCTATTTCAATCAGGTTCTACAAAATTCAATTCTATTCTATGTATGCAGAGTTGTTGTAGCCATGTCAGTCCCAGGATATTAGAGAAACAAGGTGGGTGAGGTAATATATTTTATTGGACGAACTTCTGATGAGAAAGTTCAGAATGTCTGCCTTAAAACACTCAATACCGTCAAATGTAAACAAACTGTCAGGGGGCCTGCAAGCAGTTTACCCTGCCAGGCCGCATGCATCCCGCAGGCCGTAGGTTGCCCACCCCTGGTATACAGACATCTGATTTGATTTCCCCCTTATGTTCTCTCTTGTCTTTCTCTTATCCCTGCTATAGAGGCCCATGCTCCTCCCAGATTCCGACCCTTCTCCCAGGTCTCCATGTTTGGACCTACCTGTGGGCTTTTGTCACATGCCTCCCAACTGCCTTTTACCCCATCTCTTCCTTTCCCCCCTTAAAATTACAGGGGTATTAACAGGCCACTTCACCTTGGATGGTCCCTTGAAATATGTGCTACTTATGCTAAAAGAACAGGAGTACTTGTGGAACCTTAGAGACTAACAAATTTATTAGAGCATAAGCTTTCGTGGGCTACAGCCCACTTCTTCGGATGCATATAGAATGGAACATATATTGAGGAGATATATACACACATACAGAGAGCATGAACAGGTGGGAGTTGTCTTACCAACTCTGAGAGGCCAATTAAGTAAGAGAGAAAAAAATTTGAAGTGATAATCAAGATAGCCCAGTACAGACAGTTTGATAAGAAGTGTGAGAATACTTACAAGGGAAGATAGATTCAATGTTTGTAATGGCTCAGCCATTCCCAGTTCTTATTCAATCCTAAATTGATTGTATCTAGTTTGCATATCAATTCCAGCTCAGCAGTCTCTCGTTGGAGTCTGTTTTTGAAGTTTTTCTGTTGTAAAATAGCCACCCTCAGGTCTGTCATTGAATGACCAGACAGGTTAAAGTGTTCTCCCACTGGTTTTTGAGTATTATGATTCCTGATGTCAGATTTGTGTCCATTAATTCTTTTGCGTAGAGACTGTCTGGTTTGGCCAATGTACATGGCAGAGGGGCATTCTCTTACTTAATTGGCCTCTCAGAGTTGGTAAGACAACTCCCACCTGTTCATGCTCTCTGTATGTGTGTATATCTCCTCAATATATGTTCCATTCTATATGCATCTGAAGAAGTGGGCTGTAGCCAATGAAAGCTTATACTCTAATAAATTTGTTAGTCTCTAAGGTGCCACAAGTACTCCTGTTCTTTTTGCAGATACAGACTAACACGGCTGCTACTCTGAAACCTGTACTTATGCTAAACAATCTGTACCACCCTGTGACACTCTGTGAATGTTTCCCACACCTAAAGAAGGGTTCTGTGTAATCTCAAAAGCTTGCCTCTCTCACCTTCAGAAGTGGGTCCAATAAAAAAATATTATCTCACACACCTTGTCTCTTTAATTCTATTCTATAGAAAGAATCCAGTAGCAGTACAAGATTTTCAGTATACACTGGAACCCTCACTGATGTTAGTTAGATTTGGATGCATGGACTACTGACAACATTTGACCATTAAAATTCATTTACTGTATAGCAGAACTGTTATAAGCTACAGTGAGATTTACTCTGCATTTTTAATAGTTTTCATGTATATTTAAAGGAAAAGAACCATTAGGATGTGAATAACTTGCATTTTAAAATTATAAAATTACTTTGGTGACAGAAAAGCCTACAGCTTGGTCAGTTCAGTTCAATATATATTTATGCTAATGGAGTTATTGCTTAGATTTTCCTTTTTTAAGTTTCTCTTATTCTAATGTATTCCTAAGAAGATGTTCTTTATGGCAAAAATCCAGCCAATCAGATAAAAAAAATAGGCATGAATTAAGCATGTTTGAAGAAAAACATAATCCTCATTACACATTCATTGATTGCTAGGAACAAATGAAACTCACATTTGTTTAGACTCTAATGGTTTTTGATACCTAGTGTCTTTGTACTCCAGGAATCTGGGCAAGACTAGGAACAAAGCTGCCAAAATACTACAGGAAAATGGTACTTGTGATACCGCCTTCCTAGAGAAAGGCAGATAACTTGCCGCCAAGTTAAAGAAGTATGGGCTGGATGAATGGACTGTAAGGTGGATAGAAAGCTGGCTGGATCGTCGGGCTCAACAGGTAGTGATCAATGGCTCCATGTCTAGTTGGCAGCTGGTTTCAAGTGGAGTGCCCCAAGGGTCAGTCCTGGGGCCAGTTTTGTTTAATATCTTTATTAATGATCTGGAGGATGGTGTGGACTGCACTCTTAGCAAGTTTGCAGATGACACTAAACTGGGAGGCGTGGTAGATACACTGGAGGGTAGGGATCGGATACAGAGGGATCTAGACAAATTAGAGGGCCAAAAAAAAACCTGATAAGGTTCAACAAGGACAAGTGCAGAGTCCTGCACTTAGGATGGAAGAATCCTATGCACTGCTACAGACTAGGGACCGAATGGGTAAGTAGCAGTTCTGCAGAAAAGGACCTAGGGGTCACAGTGGATGAGAAGCTGGATATGAGTCAACAGCGTGCTCTTGTTGCCAAGAAGGCTAATGGCATTTTGGGCTGTATAAGTAGGAGCATTGCCAGCAGCTCTAGGAACGTGATCGTTCCCCTTTATTTGACATTGGTGAGGCCTCATCTGGAGTACTGTGTCCAGTTTTGGGCCCCACACTACAAGAAGGATGTGGAAAAATTGGAAAGAGTCCAGCGGAGGGCAACAAAAATGATTAGGGGTCTGGAGCACATGACTTATGAAGAGAGGCTGAGGGACCTGGGATTGTTCAGTCTCCAGAAGAGAAGAATGAGAGGGGATTTGATAGCTGCTTTCAACTACCTGAAGGGGGGTTCCAAAGAGGATGGAGTTCGATTGTTCTCAGTGGTGGCAGATGACAGAACAAGGAGCAATGGTCTCAAGTTGCAGTGGGGGAGGTCTAGATTGGATATTAGAAAACACTATTTCACTAGGAGGGTGGTGAAGCACTGGAATGCGTTACCTAGTGAGGTGGTGGAATCTCCTTCCTTGGAGGTTTTTAAGGCCTGGCTTGGCAAAGCCCTGGCTGGGATGAATTAGTTGGGAATTGGTCCTGCTTTGAGCAGGAGGTTGGACTAGATGAGCTTCTGAGGTCCCTTCCAACCCTGATATTCTATGATTCTATGATATCTTAGAAAAGCCTGTTCTTGCAAGATTCCCAACCTCATTTTGCATATGCAAGAGGTTAGGTTAGTTCATATAAGTTTTGGATAAGCATCCAAAGTTTTGGATATCCATATTCCCAAACCACAAGAAACAAATATATTTCAGACAAATAATTGATCAGTGCAATAATGAAAAACCTATTTTATTTGTGATGGTGCAACAAAAAAATAACCATAATCAACACTATAATTACAAGGTTTGTAATTAGACAAGGTAATGCTAATGGGAGTCTCACGGCTATATGTCTGTGCACCAGAATGAAATGAATTAACTATCACATGTGGTGATTATAATCATGTTTCTTTGATAGTTCTAGGAACCTGATCATAGGTTTATTTTGTAAATTCTGATACTGAAGGTTGATACATAGTAGGGTGTTATATCTAAACCAGGGGTTGGCAATCTCTGGCACGCAGCTCGCCAGGGTAAGCACCCTGGCAGGCTGGGCGAGTTTGTTTACCTGCCACGTCAGCAGGTTCGGCGGATCCATTGGCCGCGGTTCACTGTCCCAGGCCAATGGGGACTGTGGGAAGCAGCGCGGGAGAGAGATGTGCTGGCCGCGGCTTCCCGCCGCCCCCATTGGCCTGGAGCGGTGAACCGCCGCCAGTGGGAGCTGTGATTGGCCAAACCTGCCGACGCGGCAAGTAAACAAACTGGCCCAGCCCGCCAGGGTGCTTACCCTGGCGAACCTCGTACCAGAGGTTGTCGACCCCTGATCTAAACAAATGGCTACTCCCTGAAAAGATTCCAAACCTTAACACTAAGTGACAACATTTTGTTTTGTCTGATATTTGGCTCCAGGATTACATATGGTGGGTATTATATAACTTTTTTTCTGTATCCGGTGGCTTTTCTTTAAATTCCTGCAATGATCTGAGCACATTTCTATTAATAATAAAATGATATGTCCAAGCATTGAACCTTAGCTTTTGGATTTCAGTGCTCAGATTCTCAGCAAATGTAAATAAACTGGCTCCATTGACCTCAATACACAAACTATAGGCCAGATTCTTAGCTGGTGTAAATCAGCATAGCTCTGTAGAATACCGTGGAGCTAGCAAATATTCACTAGTTGAGAATCTGGCCTACAGCTTATGCACAGAAGACTCTGCACAGGTCTGCATATTGACTGAATTTTTTACACTAAAATACCATTCTGTTAAGTTAATAAACACAATATTTTTTCAAATGTACCTAGGGGAACTTGAATTCAGACCAGCATGTCTGGCTGCAAATGGCATTTTATATATTAATATTTAGTTTTACAACTATTTGAACTTCAATTGTTTTATAAAAAATACTCAAATATACATTGTGTTTTATAAATATTTTTATATCAAATATGATTTAAGCTTTTGTGGAATTCCCTTACATTGATAAAATATCACACAGCCATATTTATTAAAAGACCTTAAGGGAAAAGACCATTTTCTTTCCCTTGAGTAGTTGCTTAGAGTTACAGACATCACTGTAATACTTTGCATTATTTTGCTACTATAGGGCCTGATCCAGCAATCCTTGTGCAACAGAGCTTCCTTCACTGACTTCAGTAGAGTTTGTGTGTGAAGAGACGTCAGACTTGAGATGATAATGCTGGGAAAGTGGGGGAGATTTTGAATAGCTAATCTGTAATAAAATGTCAGACTTTTATATGGAAGTATCAATATACTTCCATAGAGCCCAGTCTACTACCAGTGACTATCATGGAAAAAGATCAAGCTAGTAGTACTGTTTGTACAAAATAAATGCATTTGTTTTTCTGCCTTTTCAATGGCTGTTCTGATTGTCTCATGGTAATTACTTTTGTACCTACTAACTAGCTCCTAAATAATTGATAGGGAAAAATAAATGCAACATGCAATAAAGAGGCAAGTAAAACCTATGGAGTTAGAGTAATTACTGTACATAGCTGGGCTATGAAAAATAAATTACCTAATCTCCTTACTTTATGTGGTAATAGTAATTTGTCATTTTAGTGAATGAGAAGATTAGATGTTGAATATGTGCTAAGTTTGAAGGTCAATTGATTTAAAAAAAAACATCATTTGAATTACTCACATTGTATCACTCACATATTTTTAGCTGAAAAACATAATTGTCTACCTTAAAATAATCTTACCTTGAGATGCAGAAAATGTAGATTAGGGATGGGAAAAGGCTTGGAAACAATCCAAAACTACTTGAATATCACAAGTTCATTTAAGTGGAACATAACTGAAATATTACTGAATCAGTTTATTATACCCCAGCTCCTGATGGGAGAGAAAATCTAAGTGAAGATCATGGGGCGGATCCTCATGACAATTTACACCAGCTGAGGCTCTGTCTCTAGATCTTTTAGGCTTCAAAGACTCGAGTATAAGTAAAGATGGTTCATACGTTAGGGTTTTTTTTACTGGATGCTGCCCAGCATGGCTAAGCTAATGCTACCCTTCATCCTTTCATTCAGCTTGCTTGTCAGTCACTTCATCTTTCTGAGTTAAAGTGAGAACAAAACAAAACAAAACAAAAACAAAACAAAACTAAACACCTTATGGAGGGAAGGGGGAACTCACAGCTTGAGAAATCTCACATGCAGAGAGACTTCAAGGACTTCTCATTCTCACTGAAATTTACCAGGCTGACACAGTATATGGTATGTAAACAAGTCATAGAAACATAGGAACATCTTATGGAAAAGATTTGTTGGGTCACTTGTTCATTGCCAATACAAGATCATTCAGTTCATTACTCTCAAGTGCATTGTCTAATGTAGTTTTAAATGACTATCAAAAGTTTATATCAGTTTCCTTGTGTGATTGTTCAAATGGGCCAGCCTTGTGAATGGAGGGAACCAGAAAGCTATCAAACATGGCTACAATCAAACAGATAATGCTTATAAGGGAAATAGGGTGGGCTACAGTGTAAGGTTTATTTTGTTATGTTACTGTAGCCTCAAGTGTATATGACCTGCATCTAATTTGGTGTGTGTGCACACATTCACATTCAGAGAAAGGATGCCTTCAAATTCCAGTTCAAGAAGATCAGAAAGCCTACAAAATTTGTGGATTAATGAAATTTAAATGAGAATCCAAAGCTTTTCAGAGTACTTCCTCTAGCATATATTATACAAAGACTGACATGTAAATATTATGGAAACAAACATGTTAAAAATTGCATTACAATAGTGAATTAATGACATTTCATGTTGAGTATTGTCAATGTTGGTAGATGGGTTAGACTCTTCAATCTCCATTTCACTAAGGAAAATGGCTTAGAAAAGTAGCTGAGTGTCTAATGGATTGAGAGTCAGATATCTGTTGCATGATTTGCATCACTTTAGTTTAGAACAGTGGTTCTCAAACTTTTTTTTCCACGGACCACTTGAAAATTGCTGAGGGAGTCTGAGGACCACTTAATGATCTTTCCAAATGTTGTTTGTACCGTTAGCTAACTATTGTAAAGCGCTTTGGATAAAAGCACTATATAAAAAAAGTAATAATAATAAACATTTTTTGTTCTAAAATTAAAAGCACACATCTCATATTTTAATATCAGTAGTCTTACCTTTCTAATTTGATGGATGTGCCCTCTCTCCCCCGCCACAGCAGCCACAGAGCTGGGGCTGGGAAGGAGGGCTGTCTCTCCCCAGCAGCCGCAGCTCTGGAGCTTGGGAAAGTCGCCTCTTTTTCTGGCCGCCGCAGCTCTGCACATCCCAAATTCCCCCCGCTCTCTCTTCTCAACCTACTGCCCCCTCCCACCTACTCCTTATTCCCTCCAAGGCCACCACCTCACCTTACATGTGTGTCTTGTCCAAAATCCAGGCACCTAATTAGGGGAGCCAGGCCTGTGCAGCTCCACTAATTAGGTGGGTGGCCCTTCATTCTCTTGTGTATGGCTGCCCAGGCACGCACCTTAGAGGGAACTATCCACTGACCACCTGAATGGAGCTCGCGGACCACTGGTGGTCCACAGACCACAGTTTGAGAACCTCTGGTTTAGAATACTTATTGTGTATATGCTTAACAATGCAGTCATAAATAAGGCTACATTTATGTCACAGAGGTCACGGAAATTACAGAAGCCGTGACTTCCAGAGACCTCAGTGACATTTTCTGCTTCAGCCCCTGGGGCCACGGGACTGCACCTGGCAGGCAGCAGAGAGCCCTGTCAGGGTTCCAGTGACAGGCAACAGCTCCTCAAGGGGCCCTCCTCAGGGTTCCAGCAACGGGTGATAGCCTTGTGTGTGTGTGTGTGTGGCGGGAACCCCCTTAGCTTCCAGCCACCACGGTGGCAGGGGAAACCTGCAGCAGCAAAAGTCACAGAGAAGGTCACGGCTTCCAGGACTTTTACTAAATATAATCATGTAAAAATCTTAGCCTTAGTCGTGTTACCTCTGCATTCTATTAAGCAGGGCCGGCTCTAGCTTTTTTGCTGCCCCAAGCAGCAAAAAAAAGCGCCGCCCCCCAGGCCTCCCGCCGAGCGCTGGGCCGCGCCGCCCCCCCCAACCGAGCGCTGCACCGCCCCCCCGCCGAGTGCCGCCAGAAACCCCCCCAGAGCGCCG